TAGTATGAGTTTCCACAGAGCACAGTGCCATAGTGCTCATTTCCCACTTTTATCATATTTTTCTGGTCAGGATGTCGGGCCGGGAGCGTGACGCGACGATGGCTTCAAGACTTTCATGTTTTGATTGTATATATGTGATGATGATTTTCGTTTCCGCTGATAATAACTTTTGACGAACTTATATTTTGACGAACTTTTGGAAAACTTTATGTTTCAGTATCAGTATGATTTTATTAAAATTTAAAATAACGGTTTTCCAAATTAAGTCACAATTTTAAGGTAGCACCCTGAATCAGTTTTCGCAAAGTAAAAGGCTTTATTTTTAAATAACTTTGCGAAATTTTCGCACTCTAATTTTACGATAAGATGGGGTGTTACAATTGGTATCAGAGCACGTTTCTGCGTCTCTGACAAATTTTTCAGTCAGAAATTTTTCAGAAAAACCTGAACCGTCATGCTCACGCCCCGCCGACGACAGGTAAGTGCTGATTTATGTTTTTAGTTATAAACATATTACTTTGTCTATGCTCAAAATTAAGGATCAGGACTTTAGTTAAGATGCTCGAATCAGGTTCAGACTTTAGAGTTCGGACATGACTCTAGATTTCAGGGCATTCAGATATGACTCTAGACTTTAGTATCTTTCGATATGACTCTACAGTTCTTCAAGATTCACGTCAGTATTTATCGGCCATTTTTGGCAACTCGTCAAGAGATTTGTGTGCCTTAGAAATCAGTTAGAATGTTATCACGTATTCAATAATGTTAAATTTTCTCAATGTTTAGATGCCGCCACGTAGGGAACCCAATCATCAGGCTCCTACTCAGGCTATGGTAGTCGCTCAGTTCTGCGATTACCACGCTGAAAAGTTTTCAGGGCAGGGAGATCCCCGCATTGTAGATGAATGGATTCAGGGCCTGGAGTTTATCTTTGAGGTCATGGACTGCCCCGATAGATATCGTGTAGTTTGTTCTCAGCTTCAGCTCACTGGTGATGCTAGGCTCTGGTGGAATGCCTACTGGAGCATGCGTCCCGGTGAAAAAGCGGGTTGTACGTGGGACATGCTCAAGGAGCTAGTCCGTGAAAAGTACTACCCTTCCTACTATCGAGCAGAGATGGAGCGTCAGTTCTTAGCGCTCCAGCAGGGCACTCGTACGGTTGATGCGTACGAGCGAGAGTTCACTAGACTTGCAGCTTTCGTACCGGACCTGGTTCGCACGGAGGCTCAGAGAGCACAGCGGTTCATCGACGGGCTTTACCCAGCAGTCCGTCATAAAATCGTGGGACACGGGACTCAGACCTACGCTCGTGCAGTTTCTATCGCTCAGGAGGTGGATGCTAGCATCAGGAGGGAGACCGTCCGTGATCGTGCCCAGCCATCTGCCTCAGTTCAGCCATTTGCAGCTCCACCAGCTCTACAAGCCCCTCAGCCAGCAAAGGAGAAGAAGAGGAAGGGGAAGGGTGCACAGACTGACTGGAGGACCCGACAGAGACAGCAGCAGGTTCCGCCGTGCCCGACTTACGGGCGACTTCACCGGGGAGAGTGCCATGTGGGTCAGGATATCTGATACTACTGCCACGAGCCTGGACATTTTGCGAGTCGCTGTCCGAAGAGACTTCAGCAGCAGCCCCAGCAGCCTCCACAGCCACCACAGCAGCAGCAGCCACGTCAGCAGGCACAGAGGCCGCCTTAGCAGCAGAAACAGAGGGGCAGACAACAGGCCCGGGTTTATGCGGTTGATCAGGCAGAGGCAGCACAACATCCATGTACTATGTCAGGGATGGTTGTGCTTAATAATATTCCTGTTTTCGCTTTGTTCGATACTGGAGCAACGCATTCATTCATATCACGACGATGTCTTGATGCCATCGGAGTTCACACCGTTACCGCTGTCGATCCTCTCGAGGTGAGTTTAGCCTTGGGACGGAAGATAGTGACCTCAGCTAAAGCTTCAGACCTTAGCCTTTCCATCGGTGGTCGTTTATTGTCTACCGACGCGTTTGTTCTCGAGATGAGAGACTTCGATCTTATTCTCAGAATGGATTGGCTATCCTTCTATCATGCGGATATCAGGTGTCATGACCGGGAGATCACTCTCTATCTTCCAGGAGACGAGTCGATCATTTTCTTTGGCTCCAGGAATCGTTCACTGCCTTATGTTGTTTCAATGGCGAAAGCCACTAAGCTACTGCGACGAGGAAACTTCCAGGGCTATCTGGTTAGCCTTGTCGATGATTCTCAGAAAGCACGCTCACCTCATGATGTTCCAATCGTTCGTGAGTTTGTGGACGTGTTTCCAGATGAGCTTCCAGGAGGACCGCCTAACCAGCAGGTGGAGTTCTCTATCGATCTTATTCCAGGGGCCGGTCCAGTATCCAAAGCCCCGTATCGCATGGCGCCTAAGGAGTTGCAGGAGCTTAAGACTCAAATTCAGGAACTATTACGACTCGGTTTCATCCGACCGAGCGTGTCACCTTGGGGAGCATCCGTTCTCTTTGTCAAGAAGAAGGACGGATCCATGCGCATGTGTATCGACTACCGGGATCTTAACCGGTTGACGATTAAGAACAAGTATCCGCTTCCCAGGATCAACGATTTATTTGATCAGTTGAGGGGAGCCTGTGTGTTCTCAAAGATTGATTTACGATCAGGCTACCACCAGCTGAAGATTAAGGAATCAGATATCGCTAAGACCGCTTTCAGGACTCGTTACGGTCATTACGAGTTCGTCGTCATGCCTTTCGGTCTCAGCAATGCGCCAGCTGTTTTCATGGACCTCATGAACCGTATTTTCCATCCCTACCTCGATCAGTTTGTTATTGTCTTTATTGACGATATTCTTATCTACTCGAAGAGCCAGAAGGAGCACGAGGAGCATCTGAGGGTGGTTCTCGAAGCCCTCAGACGAGAAAAGTTGTTTGCAAAATTCTCTAAATGCGAATTCTGGCTCCAGCGAGTATCCTTTCTGGGTCATGTGATTACTCAGACAGATATCGAGGTGGATCCTTCCAAGGTCTCAGCTGTTCAGAACTGGTCGACAACGAGGAGTCCGTCCGAGGTTCGCAGTTTTCTCGGTTTAGCTGGTTACTATCGCAGGTTCATCAAGGGCTTTTCCAAGATCGCCCTCACTCTTTCCCAGCTGACGAGGACTTCTGTGAAGTTCGAGTGGACTGACCGATGTGAGGCGAGCTTTCAGGAGCTCAAGAGGAGGTTAACTACAGCACCGGTGTTGACTATTCCCGATCCTTCTCGGAGTTTCACTATCTTCAGTGATGCTTCGAGACAGGGCTTGGGATGTGTCCTTATGCAAGACGGCCAGGTCGTTGCGTATACTTCACGTCAGCTTAAGCCGCATGAGCAGAACTATCCGACGCACGACTTGGAGTTAGCAGCAGTCGTTCATGCTCTCAAGATCTGGCGACATTATCTTTACGGCGGATGTTGCGAGATTTTCACAGATCATAAGAGCCTGCAGTACATCTTCACGCAGAAGGAGCTTAATATGAGACAGCGCCGTTGGCTCGAACTTGTCAAGGATTATGATTGTTCTATTAAGTATCATCCGGGAAAGGCGAACGTCGTCGCGGATTCCCTAAGCCGAAAGGTAAGGGGTGACTTGACGTACGTCATTACTCAGCAGAGTCCGTTGATTCAGGAGTTTGCCCGGATGCAGCTTCAAGCAATCGATGCACTTCCCATAGCCATTTCGGGGAGTACCAGTGCCAGTGTCAGTGCCATGCAGCTTCAGCCAACGCTGAGAGAGAACATCCGGCGAGAGCAGGCTTCTGACGAGTTTATTCGTGTTATGGAGGCCAAGGTTCGCGCCGGATGCATCAAGGATTTCCAGTTTGGTGCCGATGGTGCCTTAGAGTTCAGAGGCAGGATCGTGGTCCCAAAGGTCGAGGCGTTGCGGAAGGAGATTTTATCAGAGGCTCATACCGCACCTTATCTGGCCCATCCCGGGAGCACGAAGATGTATCACGATCTGAAAGGGTCGTTCTAGTGGCGAGGTATGAAGAAGGACGTCGCCGAGTTCGTCAGGAGATGTCTTCCCTGTCAGCAAGTCAAAGCCGAACATCAGAGTCCGACCGGCCTCCTGCAGCCACTGCCGATTCCGAGGTGGAAGTGGGAGGAAGTCACGATGGATTTCGTTATGGGATTACCGAGGTCGTCTGAACATCACGACGCTATTTGGGTCGTGGTCGACAGATTGACTAAGGTCGCTCATTTCTTACCCGTTTCGATGAAGATGTCTCTGGACAAGTTGGCTGAGATATATACCCGTGGGATCATTCGACTCCACGGAGTGCCCGTTACGATTGTATCAGACAGAGACCCTAGATTCGTCAGTCGATTTTGGCACAGTTTACATGAAGCGATGGGCAAGAAGCTAGAGTTCAGTTCAGCCTACCATCCGGAGACGGACGGTCAGTCAGAGAGGACTATTCAGACACTTGAGGATATGCTTCGCGCTTTGGTTGTTGACAGGGGTGCTAAGTGGGAGTCGTTGTTGCCGTATGCAGAGTTTGCCTATAACAGCAACTATCATTCTTCCATTCAGATGGCTCCTTACGAGGCACTTTACGGTCCCAAGTGTCATTCCCCTCTCTATTGGGACGACGTCGAAGAGCGGCGAGTACTCGGTCCTAAGATGATCGAGGAGACAGCGGAGCAGGTCAAGTTGATCCGGCAGAGGCTCAAGACAGATCAGAGTCGACAGAAATCTTCCGCCGATCATCATCGACGAGACATTCAGTTCGAGGTTGGCGAGCCAGCTTTTCTCAGAGTTCGTCCGATTCGCGGAGTAGTTCGATTCGGAAAGAGAGGAAAGATGCACCCTCGATTCATCGGTCCGTTCGAGGTTCTCGAACGAGTAGGCGAGGTCGCGTATTGTTTAGCCCTACCTCCCGAGTTATCAGGCATTCATAATGTATTTCACGCATCGATGTTACGTAAGTACGTGTGCGACCCCGATCATGTCATTCCTCATACGGATATTCAGGTTCAGCCAGATCTATCGTACGAGGAGCGACCGGTAGCTGTACTAGACCGTCAGGTTCATCGGCTCCGAAAGTGAGATATTCCCCTCGTGCGTATTCAGTGGGATCGCCACGGAGCTACTTGGGAGGAGGAGTCCGATATTCGCGCTCGTTTTCCAGACTTTCAGTTTTGATGTACATATTCTTTATTCTATGTACATAGTTCATGTATATCAGTTATGTTTTGAATTTCCAAGGACGGAAATTTTGTAAGGAGGGAGGATTTTAATATCCCGATATTTTATCGGTATAAATTATTTTTTAGTTCCGATATAATAATGTTATCGATTATTATTTTCGGAATTAATTATTTTCAGTCGAGATTACCGAAATTTATTTTCGACGTACCATTTACGTTCGAAATAATTTTGGTAATTAAGCATTATGTTTAATTAAATAATTAAACATAAGAAAAGGATTAATTAGTAATTAATCCTCCAATTAAGCTAAAAAGCCGTACGGAAGTGTAGGCTTCCCAATTTTAAGAACATTTCCTAAGTTTTAAGAAAAATGTTTTTCCTTCTATTTTAAGTCTTGGGACGTGGCAATAGGAGAGGTAATTATGGATTACTAATCCATTTTAAGCCATAGCCAACTAGCAAATGTCAAGCAAAGATATGGCCACGTCCAACTCTTGTCATCACCATCCCACGGCCTTTAGTATAAAAAGCATGCATGGACCGAAAAATTTTTCCCCATCTTTCCCCTTTATATGTTCAGCGCCCATATATATATTTCTCCTCTCAAGCAAGTCCCAAAGATTCAGCAAGTAGCAGCATATTACCTTAACCATAGCATAGTATCGCACGGGAAGTAGCATCGGCAAGCTATCGCGCACAAGGCTCACACACGCAAGGTCACGATCGATTGGGAATTCCGTCGAACACTCAAGGAGGTATAGCTATTCTCAGCCTATTTCTATGTTAATGAGTTCATTTTAAGCTGAAGTGTTCGACTCATGTTCAAGAGGTTATAGTATTGCCGTGTTAAAGTTCGAATATGCCTAAGTCAATTGTGATCGAATAAGTTCTCGTTTTAACCGGCAACTCTCGAACCATTCTTGTTTAAATGATCAGTTTACCTCATTTTACGTTCAGTCACTTGATGATGGTCGAGGAAAAATGATGTTTTAACGCTTAAATGGCTCAAACCGTCGCTAGCTCTTATCGCGCGTGGCCACGGGCGGCACCGAGCCATGTCCTGTCACTTTCAGTTATGGCCACATTTTTTTTTTCGTGTGATTTATGTCTTGATAGTCTTATAATAAGGTTCATGTTAAAATGGTCTGAAGTTGCCGAGGGAAAAGATGGTTCGGTCGGGAGACGGCCTATCGCCGTCGGCGGCGCACGGC